GTGAAAAAGAAAAAAGAAACAAAAATATCTAAAGATGCCAAAGAGTCTGGTGTTCGAGATCAGTCTCTGCGACGTCACGGATGAATCTAAGTATTTTCTCGTTCTTAATGAAATTTCCAAAAATTCAGGTTTTCCTATTTTCAAAATATAGTCACGTATACCCACAGCACCAAACAGCATTAACCCTTTAAATCATTATAAAAAAACGTCTTGGACGAAATTTGAAAGAAAAAATTGCTCTATTTTGAAAAATTAATTATTTTCTCAATCACGCGACTACCACCTGCATAACAATTAAGAGCAAATCCCATTTCACGAATGTTACTTGCAATTTTGCCCATAATGCAACCAAACTGCATTCACCCTAGTGCATTTACCTTCGTAATTGTCATCCTGGTCTATTTCACCTGGCTACTATACCTATATCGAACGTCAGGTAGGTTAGTAATATTACCTACGTCATATTGGAACGCACATATATATATATATATATATATATATATATATATATTAACCAAGTTAAAGATACTTAGCGAAGTAAAGTTTTGAGGGTCAGCCAACTGAATCAAAGTTAAGTGGACCCTTAACTGTATAGATGAAGTTTATCCAGCCTTTGATCTTGGACCGGACTACCCCTTAATCAGGGCAGCCAACTGGACAAGGAAAGATTTAATAGCGATAAAGTTTCAAAAGGTTGGAAAATGGTTAAGCCAAGAATGCATCCCTCGTAGGATTTAACATGGACGAAAAACATAACCTGAAAAGTCATTCGTCAAAATGTTTCAAAAGATGACGCTAGTCCCGACGGACGTCTCAGGGACATCTCAAAGACGTCTGCTGGACTTCATACGTTATTTGGAAAATACCATAAAGAATAATAAGGCACCACCCTTATGGCGAGTCCTAGCGCACCCGCGTATCAACACACCAATCCCAAGATGAAAGATGCTGCGGTTTATCTTGTCTTCGATAAGGGTGGCACCCCTGGGACGGCCTCAGGTGAGGT